CGTCGAGCTTTGCCGACCGCGGGCTCCGCGCCGAAAGCAACGCCCGGCCTCGCCCGTCCCATCTCCGCTTTCGGCCGCCGTGGGGAGCTCGGACTCGGGGGCCCTGGGCTGGCCGGGCCGAGGGCCCCGGGGACCCCCCCATCTCGTGTGTGTTAATCCCTGCACCCCAGGCCCGCGCTCCTGGCTTTGGGTGGAGCGAGCACCGCTTTGTAAGCTGTTTCTTGACCCAAATAGTTGGTGGAGGGAAAAAAAAAAAATCAAACTCGATCCAAACTGGCTGAGCAGGCTGGCAGAGGAGGCCCATGAGTTCAAGGACAGCCTGGCCCCTCCTGCATCCGGGCACCGGCGCGGCCCACACCTGTCATCCCAGCTACTCAGGAGACTGAGCTCTGAGGATCACAGTTCGAAGCCAACCTCGGGCGGGAAAGGCTGTGAGACTCTTAGCTACAGAGAGCCCACCAAAACCAACCAGTAATGGAGTGGTATAGCACCAACCTTGAGCAAAAGAGCCAAGGGACAGTGCCCAGGCCCTGAGTTCAAGCCTGAGGACCAGCACCAAAAAAAACCCTCAAGTCACATGAATGAAACCAACACCCCTGCCCAGTTCATTCATTTCTTCAGCAGTGAAGCCAGGGGAGCTTGGCACTGCGTCCACATCGGTGCAGATTCTTCTTTTGCCTCCGGGGGTGGGGCATGGAAGACATGAGGGGACTTCAGCATTGCCTTCCCCCGGAGAGCGGGACTGGAGCTGGAACCCCAGATCCTCGGGGCCCCTGTGCTGGACTGGGCCAAGGTCAAGGCCCAGGAAAGGACGGACGGGGCAAGCAAGAGGGTGCCAGACCCTGGAGACATAAATGCTAAATGCCAAGGTCCCCAGGGAGAGTGGCTCAGGTGAAGAGCGCCCACTGAGCAAGTCCAAGGGGCTGGTTCAACAAATGACGTCAAAATGCCCAGCTCATACATGATGGCGCAGGGTAGGTGTAGGAATGGCTCCGATGCCAGCTTTCACAAACTCTAGCACAAGAAGGGCGTCGAGACTCATACCTGTAATCCCAGCTACTTAGGAGGCTGAGCATCAAGGTTTAAAGCCAGCCTGGGCAAGAAAGTCCATGATACTTTTTACCTCTAACCACCAAAACGTCTCAAGTGGAGGTGCATGTCGAGTGGTAGAGTGCCAGCCTTGAGCAAAAAAGCCAAGCGAGAGTATAAGACCCTAAATTCAGAACCTAGCACTAGCATAATAACTCAGGGGCTTTGAGGATTAGGGTGTGGCACCATGGGAGAGCCTTGCTGGCGTCCACAGCAGCTGGGTTCTGTCTCCAGCACCAACAGCAAATCCTAGCTACTCAGGAGGCTGAGATCTGAGGATTCAGGTTCAAAGCCAGCCCAGGCAGGAACATCCATGAGACTTAATTCCAATAAATCACCAGAAACCTGCAAGTGGTGCTGTGGTTCAAGTGGTAGAGCACCAGCCTTGAGCTGACGAGCTGAGGGACAGCACCCAGGCCCATAGTTCAGGCCCTACAACTGAACCCCCCCAAAAAAACAGACAGGTGCTGTGGTCCACATCTGTAATTCCAGCCACTTAAGTGATGAGCATGGGAGGATTGCAGTCAAGGCCCGTCCATAGCCTTATCTGTAAAACTCAAGCAGAAAAAAGGATGGGAATTAAGTGGTAGAGCATATATTTGGTGTATAAGTATGTATTTAATATTAATATAGTTGTATTATGTTAATCTAATATTTTAACATAATCATATATGTGCTTATAGTTAAAAGTACAATGTAACTTAGTATCTTAACATAAGTACATAATTATACATTAGTATATTAATATGCATTACTTTGATAACATACAAGGTTTAAGGCAGTAACATTAGCAATATAGTTACACATACATATATTTATTATTATTATTATAATTTTTGGTTGTGGGGCTTGAACTCAGGGCCTGGGTGCTGTCCTTGTGCTCAAAGCTGGTGCTTTAACACTTGAGCCACAGCACCATTTCCAGTTTTTGTGTTGTTCATTGGAGATAGGGGTCTCATGGCAACTTTCCTGCCCGGGCTGGCTTTGAACCATGATCCTCAGATCTCAGCCTCCTGAGTAGCTAGAATAACAGATGTGAGCCACTGGCACCAGGCAGCAGTATGGCTATATTAAATACATATGAGTGATGGGCTGGGACTGTGGCCTAGATAAAGTCAGCGCTCTGGCACAAAGAAAGCCCAAGCTGGTAGCTTACTCCTGTAAACCTAAGCTACTCAGAGGCTGAGAGGAGGAGGGTCGCACTTCAGCGCTGGCCTGGGCAGGAAAGTTCTCAGAACCTCTTCTCACTGAGAACTGGCATGGTGTAGGAAGTCTAGCCTAAGTAGGTCCCTCTCAGAAAACAACCCAGGCTGGGCACCGTGGCTCACGCCTGTCATCCTAGCTACTCAGGAGGCCAAGATCTGAGGATCGTGGTTCAAAGCCAGCTGGGGCAGGAAAGTCCATGAGACTGATTTCCAATGAACCACCAGAAACCAAGGCTCAGGTGGGAGAGCACCAGCCTTGAGCACAAAGAAGCTCAGGGACAGCGCCCAGGCCCAGAGTTCGAGCCCCAGGATTGGCAAAAACCAACCATTGCAGGGGCTGGGGGGTCCACCGTGGGAGCCAGCCCCACCCTGTGGCAGGGGCACCGGCCTCGAGCACGGCACTAGATTGGGGGCAGATCGCGTTACTGGGGGCAGATCGGGGGGTCCTCTGGGAACCCAGGGCAACACCCCTTGCACTCAGTCACGCGCACTCTCCCTCGGAAGGGCTGCAGACCACACAGAACGGCCGCTTCTACGCCATCTCTGCCCGCTTCAAGCCGTTCAGCAGCAAGGGCAAGACGCTGGTGGTGCAGTACACAGTGAAGCACGAGCAGAAGATGGACTGCGGCGGGGGCTACGTGAAGATCTTCCCCGCCGACCTGGACCAGAGGAACCTCAACGCCAGGTCCCCCTACTACGTCATGTTCGGTGAGCGCCGGGCCTGCCCCCACTTCCTCCACCCCCCCAGCTGCCCCCCACTAATCTTTGTTGCCCGTTTTCATTTGGGGCCTTAGCACAACTCAGAGGAGGCTCCTTCCTTGGGAGGAGGTCTCCCTTTATGCTTGGACTGCAGTCCCCCATTTCTGCTTCCCCGAGTCTCCGGGGGCGGGCCCGGGCCATCGAGCGCAGCAGTGTAAGCCGGCATTGGGGGGCGGTGGGGGTCACCTCACCTCGGTGGAGATGGCATCTTGCAAACTTTTTTCTTGTCTAAGCTTGCCTCAAACCACAATACTCTGACCTCTGCCTCCCCAGAAGCTGGGATTGCTGGCTCGGGCCACTGTGCCTGGCTCTGACAGCTTTGTGGGTTGTGCTTTGGCTGTGGGACTGGAAGTCAAGTCTCGGGCATTCCGGCCCACACTCCTACCACTGCGGCAGGGCCCCGCCTGGCCAGTGAGTGAACATCCACACGATGCTCAGGAAGTTTCCATGGCCAGGGCTCCACACTTGGCTACTCGGGAGGCTGAGATCGGAGGCTCGCAGTTTGAAGCCAGCCAGGGCAGGAAAGTCTTCAATGAGCCACCAAAATGCCACAAGTAGAACTGTGGCTCACACACAGACACAGAGATAACTCAGATGTGAGGAATTGTGCGTTAAAGGTCTCTGCTCTCCGCGTGCGGGGTCTGCAGGACTCTTCCCCGTGCTCTTCCTTCCACGTTTAGCTGTATGTATCCCCCTGAGAATCGGCCTGCACCGAGCTTTGAACTGGGGGCCTGGAGCCCCACCCCCGGGCCACTGTACTGCTGCAGTGACAGTGACATTCACCTAGGAGCTGACGCCCAACACAGCATTGTTGTTATTTCTGTGGCAGTAGATACCTAATATTAATTATATATTACACTTGCTTAGATAGGATGCTACGTATTTCTTTGTGTGTGTGTGTGTGTGTGCGCGCGCACACGCGTGTGCTTTGAACTCTGGGCCTGGGCGCTGTCCCTCAGCTCTTCAGCTCAAGGCGAGCACTCTACCACTTGAGCCACAGTGCCACTTCTGGCTTTTTCTGGTGGTTCATTGGAGATCAGAGTCTCATGGACTTTCCTGCCTGGGCTGGCTTTGAACCATATAATCCTCAGATCTCATGCGTGGCGTGGCGTGAGCCCTGCCTCCTAGCTGGCAGCCAGTTTGGAAGGGGAGGAAGCTGCTGCCGGCCTCAAACACCCGCCCGCGCGTCCTGCTCGGGTCAGAGGAGTCTGCAGAGGTGGATTCAGCGGAGACACGCTCTGCTCTTTCTTGTGTTGTTGGTGGTGGTTGTTTTGCTCCAGGCCAGCGCTCTACCCCTTGGGCCACAGCGCCACTTCCTGTTTTCTGGTGGTTTATTGGAGACCAGAGTCTCGTGGACTTGCCTGCCCGGGCTGGCTTTGAACCGTGATCCTCAGATCTCAGCCTTCTGAGTAGTGAGGATGGCAGGCGGGAGCCGCCGCGCCCGGCCGCTTCCCTTTCTCTTGAGTTTTCCTGTGCGTCCCGGGCCGGCCTCAGCCTGCAGACCTTCCTGCGCCAGCAGCCGGCTCTCCAGGTGATGGGTGGGGCGCTGAAGCAGGCGTGGCTCCTTCATTGTGGGGGCTCTGAGTGGCCCTGGTGTCTCCTGCAGGACCCGACATTTGTGGATTTGATATCAAGACGGTTCACGTCATTTTATATTTCAAGAACCAGTATCACTCAAACAAGAAACACATCCGGTGTAAGGTAAGAAAGCCCTCTAGTAAACCAGCCTGGGGGTGTACGTTCCCCAGCCCCCTCCCCGGCTGCTCACTGCCTGATTGGAGGGACAGTCTCAGGTGTGTCTGCCCCCTGCTGACTTCAATCATGATCCTCGGCCCTCAGCCTCCTGAGTAGCCGCGATTACAGGCGTGAGTCCCCATATCTAGCTGGAGAGCTGTTTTTGTGAGCCCGTCCTGAGGCTTGAACTCAGGGCTGAGGTGCTGTCTCCTGCAGCCACAGCGCCGCCTTTTTAGTAGCACATTTAGCAGCCGCTGCCCGGGCTGACTGTGGAAGCGCGACCCTCAGCTCTCAGCCTTCTGAGGGGCTGGAACTAACGACGGCCCCGCCGGCTGCCTGTGGAGCCGCCCTGAGACAGCGGCTGTCACGGCCTCAGGTGGACGCCTTCACGCACCTCTACACGCTGGTCCTGCGGCCCGACCTCACCTACGAGGTGAGGATCGATGGCCAGGCCATCGAGTCCGGCAGCGTCGAGTACGACTGGCAGCTGACCTCCCTGAAGAACGTGGAGAAGGCCGAGGCCCAGGCCAGGGGTCCGGCCCGGGCACGCGGAGCCACAGCGCAGGTAGGCGGACCCCACGCTCGGGGCCAGCCTGAGCTCGGTGCACACAGCCTTGCACGCAGCCTGTGCACAGCCACACAGCCCAGGTCTCAGGCCACGCGACCACGTACAGCCCCGGGTCTCAGGCCGCACAGCCCCGGGTCTCAGGCCGCGCACACCGCTCCCAGATGTCTACCTTGGAGAGAGTTGTTTTTGTAACATTGGTCTTTGGCAGTGCTGGAGTTTGAACTCCAGGGTTTTGTCCTTCTGAGCAGAGAATCTACCACGGAGCCCCCCCCCCATTTATACACACACATACGCACACGCCAACACCTGCTGTACATATATGTGACTGCGTGTGCACAAGCACACACATAGGCACACACACACACTTGTGTGCTGGTCCTGGGACATGAACTCAAGGCCTGGGCGTTGTCCCTGAGATCTTTTTGCTCAAGACTGGTGCTCTACCACTTGAGCCGCAGCTCTCCTCTGGCTTTTTTAGTTTTCCTTAGGAGTTTTCACAGGTCCGGGCGGTGGCTCCCGCCTGTCATCCCAGCTACTCAGGAGGCTGAGATCCCAGGATCACGGTTCAAAGCCAGCCCAGCCAGGGAAGTCCATGGGATTCTATCTCCAATGAACCACCAGAAAACCAGAAGTGGCGCCGTGGCTCAAGCAGTAGAGCGCTCGCCTTGAGCTGAAGAGCTGAGGGACAGCGCCAGGCCCTGAGTTCAAGACCCATGACCAACAAAAAAAAAACCGTTTCACAGGCACTTTCCTGCCCAGGCTGGCTTTGAACCGCGCTCCTCAGATCTCAGCCTCCTGAGGAGCTGGGGTGTCAGGCAGGAGCCACAGGTGCCCGGCCACCCGTGACTTTTTAGGGGACCCCACCATGCAGTGTGCTGCTGTGTGTGTGTGTGAGTGTGAGTGTGTAACTGGATGGCATGTTGCGTCCTCCCCGTCCTCAGCCGCGTGGGTCCTGGCTGTCCTGCCTGGGGAGGGGTGGCCCCCAGCTCTGTCCCCATGTCCTCCTCCGCTGGGCCCCTGACCCTGGCCTCCCCGTCGGTGGCAGGACTGGGAGCAGCACTTCCTGGACGCCAGCGCGCCGAGCGACTGGAACAGCGAGTTGGACGGGGACTGGCAGGCGGCCATGCTGCAGAAGCCGCCCTACCAGGTGCACCCCGCCCCCTCCCTGTCCCTGGGATTGGGGCACCCTCGCCCGGCCCCGGCCCCTCACCCCGCGGCCCCCGCTGCAGGACAGCCTGAGGGCCGAAGGCATCGATCGGGATGTGTGGCTCCACGAGAAGATGCAGTCGGCCAGCTACCTGCTGCAGCAGGACCTCTTGGAGTTCGAGAACATCGGCGCCATCGGCCTGGAGCTTTGGCAGGTGACCCGGCACTGGCGCTGCGCAGCCTCCGCCCCCAGCCCCCCGCCGCCATGCTGCTTTCCTCTTCTCTCTCTCACTCTCTCCCGGCAGTACTGGGATTTGAACTCAGGGCCTTGCTCTTGCAAGGCAGGTGCTCTACCATTGGGCCAGGTCTCCCTCCAGCCCTTTTTGCTTTCCTTGTTTTTCAGATCAGCCTCACACTCTTGCCTGGGATGGGTCTGGGACCAGGATCCTCCCACCTCTGCCTCATTTGGCTGAGATGATAGGTGTGCACCACACTCGACTTGTTGTTTGAGATAGGGTCTTTTTTACCTCGCCCCTCCCCCATCAATTGTGGGGTTGAACTGTGGGCCTGGGCGCTGTCCCTCAGCTCTTCAGCTCAAGGCTAGTGCTCTACCACTTGAGCCACAGCGCCACTTCTGGTTTTCTGGTGCTTTATTGGAGATCAGAGGCTCATGGACTTTCCTGCCCAGGCTGGCTTTGATCCTTGATCCTCAGATCCTCCTTCCTGGGAAGACAGGCAGGTGCCACAGGCTGGCCCCATTCTTTTTTTTTTGGTCCGGTTGTGGGGCCTGAACTCTGGGCCTGGG